TAGTCATCTCTCCAATCCACGGGCCTGGCATTTTTTAAGGTATTCTTGCACACACATTTATAGTGTGAGAAGTGTGGTCTTTAATATTTACCGTCAGCTTGTCAGGGTCTAGAATCACCCATGAGACAGCCTCTGGGCATGTCTGTGAGATGTCTTCTAGACTGGGTTGAGGTGGGAAAAATGTGGGTGTTGCCATTCCATGGGCTGAGGACCTGGACCGAATAGAAAGGAGAAAGCAAGCTGAGACCCGGTGTTCGTCTCTTTTCATCTATTGACTGTGGAGCCAGTGTGAACTGTAGCTGGCCATCTCAAGCTGCTGCTACTACGGCTTCCTTGTTCATACTGAACTCTGCCTTCCAGCTGTGAGCCAAAGTAAACCTTCCTTCCTGAAGATGCTTCTGTCGGGTATTTTGTGACAGCAACAAGCAAAACAGCCAACACAAGGATTATTTCCTTACAATGTGATGGAAAATATCTGTGTCTATATGACATAATGTTCCTAGTCATACTTAGATAGCACAGTTTGGCAAAGACTAGGATTTGTAAGTTAGGGTAGAGTCTCAATAATTTTGATAACAACAATCTCCTGGCATTTTTTTTTCAGTTCAGGAGCTGATCAGTTATTTGGTCGGGTTATTTGTGGTGCTGGAGACAGATCCCAAGACCTCATACATATTAGGCAAGTGCTCCACCACTGAGCCACACCTACCGTGAGATGGGTCTCTGATGCTGGTCTATGTACTCTCCAAAGTGTCCCACAGAAGTAGGATCACATGACTGAAGGAGATGAGTGGTCTGATGGAAACAAAAGCAAGCAAACAAACAAACAAAAAACAACTGTACTTTGATGATTTGATTTACAAAAGATTTATAATGCACTCAGTGACCCAGAATATAATTTCCTATCATCTATAACTGTAGCTGTTGGTGTCTATTCTTTATGGTAATTTTTACAAGAGGATATCATACTGTCCACAGTTGATTTTTTTGTTTGTTTGTTTGTTTGTTTGTTTTTTCGAGACAGGTTTCTCTGTGTAGCTTTGTGCCTTTCCTGGAACTGGCTTTGGAGACCAGGCTGGCCTCGAACTCACAGAGATCCACCTGCCTCTGCCTCCTGAGTGCTGGGATTAAAGGCGTGTGCCACCACTGCCCAGCTACAGTTGATTTTTGTTTTGGTTTTGAAGCACAGTCTCATTAGCCTAGGCTGGCCTTGAACTCACTATGTAGCTGAGTATGACTTTCAAATCCTGATCCTCCTGGCTCCACTTCCCAAGTGCCAGGATTACAGGTGTTAACTACCACTTCCACTTTCCCACCTAGTACTGAGAATTGAATCCAGGGCTTCAAGTATGCTAGGCAAACACTCCAGCAGCAGAGGTAATCCCCAGTCCCACACAGCTGATTTTTGTTCATAGTATTATTACTTTGCCAGGCTGCTTTGGAGAGATTTGGGGCTTTATCCAATCACTCATTTTTTTTTTATTCTCTAATTGTTGTTTGACCCAGAGATGGCTGATAGTTTCCTTTATAACTCGAGCAAATTCCCTGGAGACATGACCCAATCTAAGCTCCTATATTTAGCCTTGGTAGAAACACTGACAATTTTCATATCTAAGTGCTCTTGTATGAATACGTTTAGCTGGTGGATGTTAAAACATATGTAACACACAGAAGCCTAGCCATTGGTTTTGGACATCTGGGGGATGGGTGTGAAGACTAGAAATGATACCTATGTGCATTATAACATATTGATTTAGTATTTTTCAAGAAGCTAGATAGGGCTTGATGAATATGCCTGCCATCCAAGCACTCAAGCAACTGAGGCAGAAGGATTGCTGTGAGTTCAAGGCCAGCCTGAGTACACAGTGAATATAAGGCTAGCCTGGGTATGAGGTAAGACCCTCTCTCATTGTTAATAATAAAGTTGATTGGCTGATGGCTGGGCAGGAAGAGATTTAGCATTAGAGGCAAACTAGGAGAATTTTGGAGAGGAAGGCAGAGCCAGAACAGATGCCAGTGAGCTGCCCGAGCAACAAGATGTACTAGAGAACAGGTAATGCTACAAAACCATGTGGTGAAATATAGATTAATAGAAATGTGTTAATTTAAATGTAAGAGCTAGTTAGTAACAAGCCTGAGCCATTGGCCAAGCATTTACGATTAATATGAGCCTCTGAATGATTATTTCAAAGCAGCTGTGGGATGAGATGAGACAGAGGAAAGGCTCTGGTTACATATGGCACCCAGTGTGGGGCATGGATCCACATAAGACCTGAGAAAGCCTAAAAAAGGTTCTAAATGCACAGAATCAGAGCTCCACTGGGCTTTCTAGTCTCACAGTCTCATGCCAGCAGCAGCAGCACAGAGACAAGGCTCCCAACAGCTGCCTACAAGAAGGAGCCAACTGCCAGCCATCATAAGCTAATCGGTGTGGCAGGTTCCGAAGCCCCTTACATGGGCTGTGGTGGAAAGGCTTATTTATCCCAGCCGCTTTCTATGGGCTTAAGAACATTGCTGAATGCTATTTGGTGGCAGCATGGACCCTACAGCTTCCCAGAGTTGGAGAGGTGAAGTGTGACTCTCTTGGTACCTCCACCATGTTGGAAAGCTGAGCTGGGTGGAGCCAGCAGCCAAAGTTGCTGCTTTCCTCCTAGCCACACCCACTTGACAGTTTAAAAACGTTTCTGGTCAGAAAAGGATTGCAGATAAACAATAAGGACAGATTCAGACAAATAAGACCTCTAAATGGGTCATACTGTGTTTAAAAAACATGCCTTTGCTTGGGAGAGAGAATAGAATGGGCAGAGACAATAATAGGTTTTAAAAATAATAATAAAGTCCTTAAAAGGAAATAGAATAATAAAAAATTATGATGAGCCACATAAAAATGGAGACTACACTGAGAGTCTGGATTATGTATATTATTATGTTGTCATTGGGATTTTTAACTGCTATGAGGCATTTGGATATAGAAGCTGCTAGATTAAATCAACATGTATATTTTGGAAATATCTTGATTCCAAGGTTTAAGTCAGAAGATATGTTACTTTGGACAAGAGGTTCTGATTTTGTTTACACAGGAAATGAGAGGCTATGGATTCATTCTGAGTCAAGGAAAATCAGGTTTAATTGAGGGAGACCCCCTGAACAAATCTCCAATGAAAGTGGATGCCCAGATGATCCAATGTTTCAGAGTGCTGCTGTTGCAGTTCCCTCCGAGTTCTGCATCCAGAACAGCTTCAAGGTTGCTGGCTGAGATGGTCCAGCCTCACAGGCAACTCCAGTCAGGACTTGACCATAATCCTAAATTTTCTCAGGGTCCCCATAAGATTAACAGCACCCCCAATCAGCAGGAAGTAGCCTAGAAAACTATGCCCACATTTCCCCAAAATGGATTATGGATGTTTGTCTTTGTTTTGGGGGTTTGGTTACAAATTGTTATTGGTCATAGTCAAATTCTCTCTAAAAGAAGGAAGGGGGATATGATATAGAAATGATGGGGGAAAAGTGTAGATTATTAAATCTACTTTAATCAAAAAGCAACTGTTAATCTCAAAATATTTTACATTGGTATGGCATGGTGATATTGTGTTCCCAAAAATATTGTGCACCCTAATAAACTTATCTGGGGTCAGAGAACAGAACAGCCACTAGATACAGAGGCCAGAAAATGGTGGCACACACACCTTTAATCCTAGCATTTCGAAGGCAGAGATCTGTCTGAATCTCTGTGAGTTTAAAGCCATACTGGAAACATCCAGGCATGGTGCCACATGCCTTTAATCTCAGGAAGTGATGGCAGGAAGTAGAAAGGTATATAAGGCATGAGGACCAGGAACTAGGGCTGGTTAAGCTTTTAGGCTTTTAGCAACAGTTCAGCCGAGATTCATTCTAGATGAGGACTCAGAGGCTTCCAGTCTGAGGAAACAGGATCAGCTGAGGAACTGGCAAGATAAGGTGGCTGTGGCTTGTTCTGTCTCTCTGATCTTCCAGCATTCACTCCAATACCTGGCCCTGAGTATTTTATTTAATAAGGCCGTTTAAGATTCATGTTACAGTATGGATTTTAAAGTCAATTTTGTTATACTGTATGTATATTTCTACCCTTGTTTAAGGTATTGTGTTTATATAGTTCATTTAAAAATATAAGGTAAAATTCTAATTTTTGAAAGCTATCAGTATAAGCTGTATAGGATAATCAAGAAACATAGGTTAATAGTCATTTATGATAAAATTTGTAGATATATTAGATGTGCTTTCAAGATCATAAAGAGATATATTTTAGATAGATGATCTTCAAGTACTTCAAAGATCTACAGAATATGGCATTTAAAATGTTTTATTAACCTAAGGTTTTTCATGACAATGTTACACATCTGCTCCTGGCAGCACTAATTTACTTCAGAGATGATGGGCACTGAAGAAACTCCTTATGGAGTTTGCTTTCATTGTAGCAAGGTTAGCTGCTGGGCAAAGAAACTGCTGACAGTGTGCTGTGCAGACTGGACATGCAGGACACACGGGAAAAGAAAACTTTGAACTTGGCTAAAACAAGTCAGGAAAAGTCCTTCAAAATTCCTGCTTCACTGAAGAGTCTGCCAGATATTCTACAGGACACAGAGGAAGGTGATTGTTAAACTTTGAGAATACAAGGCAGGACAGCCATGCAAATTTCCTGATTCACCAAAAAGTCTGCCAGATATTCTGGGCCTGTAGGATGAAGATGGATGCTCCATCATTACAGAAGAACTCTGGGTGACTGTCCAGGCAGCCAGATGTCTCTGTCATTTCTAGAGCTTTGGAAGTTGCTTACAATGCACTTCCTGTTTACTCAGATAAAATTACATCTTTCTGGGGTCTTTGAGGGAGTTGAAGGCTAGATAATTATAATTATAGTTTCCCTTAGTTATGATAAAAGATAAATATGAAACTTTAGACTCACAAAAATAGGACAGATGATAGAGTATTTTCTTTAATTTTGCCAAATACAAATAGACTGATATTGTAACTATAATTCTTGCTTGATAACTGTTTTGTTGTATGTAATTTTACTATGTTAAAGTTAAAATCTTCCTTTTTAATTAGACAATAAGGGGGAGGTGATGTGGATTATACTTGTTGTTAATAATAAAGCTGATTGGCTGATGGCTGGGCAGGAAGAGATTTAGCATGACAGTCAGACTAGGAGAATTCTAGGAAGAGGAAGGCAGAGTCAGAACAGATTCCAGTGAGCTGCCAGAGCAACAAGATATACTAGAGAACAGGTAATGCCACAGCATCATGTGGCGAAATATAGATTAATAGAAATGTGTTCATTTAAATGTAAGAGCTAGCTAGTAACAAGCCTGAGCCATTGGCCAAGCATTTACAATTAATATAAGCCTCTGAATGCTTATTTAGAAGTGGCTATGGGATGAGATGAGACAGAGAAAAGCCTCTGGTTACAGTAGAAACACTGATGACATTCATGTCTAAGTGCTCTTGCATGAATATGTTTAGCTGGTAGATATTAAAGCATATGTAACACACAGAAGCCTAGCCATTGGTTTTGGACATCTGGGGGATGGGTGTGAAGACTAGAAATGATACCTATGTGCATTATAACATATTGATTTAGTATTTTTCAAGAGGCCAGATAGGACTTGATGAATATGCCTGCAATCCAAGCATTCAAGCAATTGAGTCAGAAGGATTGCTGTGAGTTCAAGGCCAGCCTGAGTACCCAGTGAATATGAGGCTAGCATGGGTATGAGGTAAAACCCTCTTTCAACAACAACAACAACAACAACAACAACAACAACAAAATTGAATAGGATTATAAAAAGTTTTCTTGTCATATATATAGATAGCTTAATGTGCTCTTATTACTAAAAGCAACCAGAGTTTATTCATTTATTCGGAAAGGCCCATTAGCTTGTCCTATATGCCCAATGCCATGTTGGGCACTTGGAGTGTGGAGATGTATTTGAGTGGTTTCTGTCCTGGTGGGATTTTCAGTCTCCCTGGGGAGACAAACACATAAATTAACATCTAGAACTAGAGTGAAACGTTTAGGACATCAAATTCTTCTTAATAGCAAATTAACACCAAACTTACCGCAAGAAACACTCCAAGAAGGCATAGTTCTTAATATATGGGAATCTTACAAATTCAGCCTGGGGTGGAGTGAGGGAAAGCAGCCAGAAGTGGAGACTCTTCAAGCTGGTTGAGGTAGGCAAAAGAAGGACTCTCCAAAGATATCCATGTGTTGTGGGATATTTGATAGCACTGTGAAACTCCGAGACCCTGTTAATAAAATCAACTGTGAAACAGGGGGCAGAGCCAGCAACTAGTTTACAGGAATTAGACATAGAGAGGACAGAGTAGCCAGGAACACAGATAGATGCACAGGAAGGGAAGGACTTGAAGATTCAAAGTCTTTTTCGGTTTGGGACGAGTGTGGAGAGATGCTGGGTCTCTGGCCAAAAAGGAAGGTGAGCTGGTTGTTTCTCAGCTTCTCTGCAAGTTTTCACCTCAGCATCTGACTCCTGAGACTTTACTGGTAAATAGAACTATAGAGATTTAGTTAAAAACTACATTTGCTGGTGGTGGCAGGACTGGAAATCCTGCCAGACCACAGTCTGAGCTGCTGGGTGCTGACTGCCAGGCCGCGGGGCGTAGACAGCAGTTGAAATATCAGTAGATTCATGTGCGGCTTCTAAGCCGACAGAAAAACAACATCCATGCCCTAATCTCCAGGATCTGAGACAATGTAGGTGGCACCGGAGACTTTGTGGAGCGTATTGAGCGGGAAGTATTATCTACATGGAGCCAATGTAATCTATAAGAGTGTCAGAGCCAGGAGGAGAGGCTGGGCAGAAGCAAAGGGTGGGATGATGCCATTGTGGAGAAGGAGCCTGGAACCAAGGAAATCTGGTAGTGCCTGGGGTTGAGCGGAGGCAGAAGGCTCTGCCTTTGGGAACCAGCCTGCTGATACTTTGACCACTCGCCAGACTGACTGAGGCCCCTGACCTTTGGGACTGTATGAGAAGAGAATCCATTTGGAGTGTGTGGAGCTGTAAGGGGTAGCCCGTTAGATCGACAGTAGGAAACAGGCGCGGTGGCTCATTGTCATCCTCTGCAACATGCAACTGCATGTGCACAGAAGGCTTCATCTCTCAGCCTCTGCGTACCTCTTTTCCTTTCTTGTAGTGATTCCCACGGTCTCAGTCATGAATAACCAACCCCAAGCCTTCCATAGACTCTCCAGGGTCCTCCTGACTGCCACGTCCCATTTGGGCTCTTTTTCCTACCCTCTTCTACTCGCTCACCAAGTCTAGTAATCCCACAACCCCACCGGACCCTCCAGCCGGGAATCTCACCACCTGTCCATTGTTCCTCGCCCCCGATGTCCTCATTTCTCGCCACCCCAATTTAGAGTTCTCGGGCAGTCACTGTAAACACTCTGCTGCCCACACATCAGACTTCCTGGCTTCTCTATCACTTTGACACATTTGCTTGCCAGAATTCCACCCCTGCTTGTATCCCGTTTTCAGCCTACTCCTTGCCTGCATGTGGGCAGCTGAATATAACTGAAGAAGAATACACGACCAGGCTGTGTCGGTTCAGATTTAGATGCCGAGCAGCCGGAGGACTTCCGCGGGACACTGCTCCACTCACCTCCCTGACAGCTTTACAGCGCTTCCTCTCCCGTATTTGGACAGGTCCTTCCTTCCTTCTTTCTTTCTATTTTTTTTTTTTAACTCCCAACTTGCTTCAGACTTCACCAAGGCAAACAGGACCGTCCTTTGTATTGGCTCCTCCCACAGCTCCTACTACCTCCCACGTCACTCTCTGCAAGTCCAGCCTGGCTCAGAATGTGGGGCTTTCTGTGCTCATGAGCTGGGCCAGATTCTTCACGTTGGCACCAGTTCCCATTCTGTCTCCCCTGTTCCTGGACTTTGCTCCTAGCCCTCTTGCCCCCCCCCCTTTTTTTTAAATGCCATTATTCTCTTCTGAATCTTATGGGATCATTCCTATTTTATAAACAAACCTCTGGAAAGCATTGTCTCTCTATTCTCTGTGTCTCTGGGTCTATCTGTCTGTCTGTCTCTCCCTCGTTCAATAGAGAATGAATCAAAATGAATACTGAATTGTGACACATATCTGTATGTAGTACTAGCTACTTGGAGTGAGGAAGAAAATGGTCTAAGAGTTAGAGACCAGCCTAAGTGACCCAGGGAGACACTGGAGAGAGGGAGAGAGACAGAGACAGAGAGACAGAGACAGAGAGACAGAGACAGAGAAAGAAAGAGAGAGAGGAGACTTGTATACTAATATTTATCTGGGTGGTACACCCAAGTGACCCAAGATCTCCCACTAGGTACCACCTCTTCAAGGTTCTACCACCTCCCGAAAACAGGCTAGGGACTGCATCTTTGGGAATATTCCAGAACTAAATTATAGCACACCCCACACAGACTCATCAACTAGTTGGACCAGCTGTACTTCCACAGTAGGTTCAGGGTCCAGCCACTTGGCAGCCCTGTGCCTACAACCATGGTGCCAGCTCCCAGCCATCGGCTGTTACCATTTCTCTTTTGGGCTACTGTATCGATCTCACGATTGGTCTGAGATTGTTTCTACCCTGCTTTCCTGTCCCCACAGGGAGAATCAGTTTTCAGCATAGAAGTTACTTATTTAACAAATTTGTTAACTGAGTATTGACTTTGTCTAAAGTATGAAATCCAATCTCATAACCGCTCTGTCTCTCTAGAGTTAATACGGAAGTCTCTCCAGCAACCACCTCTGACTTTGTTTCCTAGCTACCTGTTCTGGTCACTGTTCTCCAGCTCTTCTGACCTCCTCGCTGTCCCCTATTATGCCAAATACGCCTCCATCTCAGGGAGTGCTTTGATGTCCGCTCGGGGACATGCCCTCCCCTAACCTTGCTGGCTTTCTCTTCAGGGCTCTGCTAAATTTCACTGTCTCCATGAGAGCTCAGTAAAACAGCAACGCCCACTCCCACCAGCACTTCCTGTTCTCCTTCATGGTATCTATTTATGTTTCAATGATATGCTCGAGTATTTACTTTCCTGCTTATTTATGGTCCAACTCCATCCACTAGAATGTAAACTCAAGGAGAGCAGGAATTTGGAGTTATTTTATCCATTTCGTTAGTCCCAGTGCTCAGTAGTTACTGTCACATGATCGATGCTCAACAAATATTTGAAGAATGAATAGGATTGCTAAATAAGATATATGGGAATAAATATTCCCATGGGACACTTGGGTATACTTGTACTGAAATGATTTATTGTTTATTTGAAATTCAGATGTAACTGAATGTCCTGTCTTTTTATTTACTAAATCTAGCAATGCTATGAATGAATAAACTCTCAGAGTCTGGAAGAATGAGTAGAATTCTGGAGGAAGACGAGGGTAAGAGGTCATTCTGACTGAATTTGTAAAGGCACACAGTGTGAAAACAGTATCACTCATCCAGAGAAGGATTATTTAGAAAAGCTAGCCAGAGCAGGATGATGGCGCACACCTTTAATCCCAGCACTCAGGAGGCAGAGGCAGGCAGATCTTTGTGAGTTTGAGGCCAGCCCAGTCTACATAGTGAGTTCCAGGATAGCCAGAGCTACATAGTGAGACCTTGTCTCAAAAAAAAAATGAAAAGAAGGAAGGAAGAAAGAGAAAAGAAAGAAAGGAAGGAAGGAAGAAAGGAAGAAAGGAAAGAAAGAAGGAAGGAAGGAAGAAAAAGAAAGAAGGAAAGAAAGAAAGAAAGAAGAGATAACCATTTCTCAACTCTGCCAGAAGCACTTCACTGGAGAATACATGTATGAAGGACGTATGGAGCCAGGCATGGCGACACATGTCAAAATCCCAGCACTCAGGAGGTGAAGGGGAGGATCAAAAGTTGTACTGATTCAGGTCTTGTTGTTGCAGATGGCGTCCTAGTTGGCTTCCTGTCGCTGTGATAAACACTGTGACCAACACCATCTTAAAGGAGGAAGGGACTTGTTACAGCTTACACTGCCAGGTCACAGTCCAGCATTGAGAGAAACCAAGGAAGGAACTCAAGCAGAACCATAGAGGAATGCTGCTCACTGGCTGATGCCGCTCACTGGGTGACAATGGTCACTGGATGACATTGCTCACTGGCTGACACCGCTCACTGGATGATGCCATTCACTGGCTGACAATGGTCACTGGCTGGTGTTGCTCACTGAAAACAAACATGCACACAGGTCAGTTTGGCCAAGGAAAATCTTGTGCTGGGGCTTCCTCTTCCCAGCTGACTCTAGGTTGTGTCAGAAGGACAATAAAAGACTAAGCCTCACAGACGGTGGTAGTACAAGTTCATGAGAAGTTCAGCAGGCTGGGCTTTCTTCCTTCGTGTCCTTATTACAGGAAAGGATACACAAAACATAAAAAGAACACCCTTCAGGTCAGAGAGGATACACTTTCCCCCTTTCGATCTATGAAGTCGTTCACAATCACCATACTAATAATACTACTGATATTTTTAGTCCTAATTCATCTGGGCTAAGTCTCCTTCCTTACAGTGGAAGAACTTCTGTGCCATTAGTTCTTTTTATCTGAGGAAGAATGTGCTCTATGTGGTGGATGCTATGGTGTGGTGCCCACAGGCCTGTTCAGGACTGAGAGCCTGATTCACTCAGCTGTTGGGAGTGGTGGTGACTGGCTGGCTGTGCTTAGCTGAATTATTTCCTATAATTTGTAACTAAAGAAAGCTACTCTGCTCAAGTCACAACGTCTCTCTGAAGAGGCCCACATATAGCCCCAGAAACCTCTGTGGGCTCAGCTAAGTCTTCGGGTGATTTGCATGTAATTCATCTCCTCCCTTGGCTCAGTCCTTTTTTCCTATTCATGTAGCTCTGGTGACTTCCCTCAGCCTTACCATCTCAAAGCCTGCTCTTCTTGTGGCATCTAAGGCAGTTGGCCCTGGGAATGGTCTGAGAGAGCCAACTTTCAAGTGGATCCCACAGCTACATTACCTGTGGGGTTGTGAGCAATGAGAATGCCACCACTAGTGGCTGGTGAAACAGGGATCTTGCTTATCATCCATTTGTGGCCATGCAATTGGCAAAGTTCTTCCTGGTGGTCAGTGGAGACAGGCCATTGTCTTAGGGTTTCTATTGCTGTGACGAGACACCATGACCACATCAACTCTTATAAAGGAAAAACATTTAATTGGAGGTGGATTTCAGTTCAAAGGTTCAATCCATTATCCTCTTGGTGGGACATGGTGGTGTTCAGGCAGCCATGTGCTGCAGAATATTATTTTAAGGTGTGTTACTTTTGTTTGTGTTGCATTTGTTTAACTCTGTGAAGCTGTGTTACAGTGCCTGTCTAAAACACCTGATGGTCTAACAAAGAACTGAACAGCCAATAGCAAGGCAGGAGAAAGGATAGGCAGGGCTGGCAGGCAGAGAAAATATATAGAAATAGAAGAGAGTATATAGAATAGGAGAGAGAAGGAGCCAGAGAAGGAGGAGGACTCTAGGGGCCAGCCACCCCTCTACACAACCAGCCATGGAGTAAGAAACAAAGAAAGGTATAAAGGAATAGAAAAGGAAAAGCCCAGAGGCAAATGATAGACAGGATAATTTAAGTTAAGGAGAGTTAGCAAGAAACAAGCCAAGCTAAGACTGGACATTCGTAATTAAGAATAAGCCTCCATGTGTGATTCATTTGGGAGCTGGGTGGCTGCCTCCCCCAAAATAGTAAAGAGCCAAAACAACAACAGACAAGGTGGTGGAGAAGGAGCTGAGAGTCCTACATCTTGACTTGCAGGGACCAGGAAGTGGTCTAAGACACCGGGAGTGGCTTGAGCATATATGAGACCTCAAAGCCCACCTCCACAGTGACGCACTTCCTCCAACAAGGCCGTAACTACTCCAATAAAGCCACGCCTCCTAATAGTGCCACTCCTGGTGGGGGGCCATGTTCTTTCACACCACCAGAGCCACCAATGGTAAAGTAATGCAGCAATGTACCCACAGACTCCTTTGTTAAGGGTTTGGTTGCCAGCTGATAGGATTCTGTCCTAGTCAAAGGCTTGAGCCCTTGGTAGATTGATATGTAGAGGCATTTTTGGGAGGAGAAGCCTAGTTGGAAGAAGCAGGTCACTGGGGCTGGGACTTGGAGAGGTCTATCCCATCCCTTGCCTCTTCTTCTCATTGTCTACTCCCCGCCGTAAGGCGAGCAAGCAGTCTTTGCCACACACTTCGCTGCCATGGTGATCTGCCTCATCTGAACCTCAAAGCTGACCTTGGACTGAATCGTCTGAAATTGTCAGCTGGAACAGATCCCCCCCTTATTTATTTCAGGGTTTTGCCGTGAGTGTCAAAAAGTGTGGCTAACACAGGCACTTAGAACCAAGCGATAGGATGGCTTTATTGTAATAACTATTACACAGTCCTTGACATCAGCTGCTCTGTGCTGCCACAATGGGCACAGAACAGCGTGGCTATGGTGGCAGAGGATTTAGGCTTTACCCAGGTTAATGGCAGGAACTCCCGCTCAGCAATGCCGATCTAGCTGCTGCTACTGACCAGTGTCTGACTTAGCTTCTACACAAACCACCCTGCATGTCCAATATGGAGACCATTTTGGTGGCAAGTTGGGATCCTTTTTGCCCTGGAAAGGTCAGCAATTAATCCTGGTCAGAATTAATACCTATGGATATAGATTTGCTTTTCATGCCTTCTGGTATCAGCCGGCATTTTTTGAATGATTACCAAATGCTTGATCCACAGATATGGTAGACTATGGCACGACACTGTACCCATTCAAGGTTCCCAATTTATAGCAAGGGTATAGTAAGAGTGAATACAAGACCGCACAACCAGCTGATTCCATAGGTATTATAGCTCTCCGACCCTGACAGACTGTCAATGGGATAGAATGGCCTTTGAAAAGACCACGGATGCTCAGACTTGGAGATGAGAACCTGAAAGGATGGGGCACCATCATCCAGGTGTCAGGACACAGCATGAGCCAGATGCCACTGTATGGTGCTGCGTCCCCAGTAGGAAGAGTCCTTAGGTCTGGGAAGCAAGATAGACGTAGAGGCGGTTGTGTGTGTTCTCCCTGTCAGCACGCACGCACGCACGCACCCATGTGCTTGCGACTTTGAACTCTGCATCTGAGGTCTTACATGCTAAAGGGAGACTACTCCCATCAGGGACCCAGCCCTCAGCGCACTGAACTTTAACACAACAGACGCGGCTCTGCCAGCCCAAGTTTGCTGTAATAAACAAGAGAAGAAAAGGAGTCACCCTTCTGGGGATGCCATCCTAGGGATGCAGCATGGGTGGCCACCAGGAGAAAGTGGGACTGCTGATGTCCACCGGCACCAGGAACACTAGGTATGACACCCAGCATGTCGCAAGAGGAGTCTCATTTTACCTCCTTCACCATTCTGATGGTAAGTATACAAGCCACACTTTGACGGAGAGGACAAGGCATGCAAGGTTTCAGACCGTCCGTGATGGAGGTCTAGGTCTCCCCGCTAGGTAAGTCACTTAGAGGAGCAGAGATACTGGCCAAGGGTAAGGGACACCTAGAATGGGTGGGGTGTCTCGGGATCCATTGCCGCAGTGACAGACTTAAATTCCCACAACAACAACAATGGACACCAGAGTCCTAGAGGAGCTGCAAACAGGACATAATTTATGGAAACAGGTTAAGCAGTGGAAAGGGTGAACTGTGGGAGTTCTGGGAAGCGCTGCTGTTCAGAGCTTCTCTTCAGAGTTGAGATTCCGTTTTCCCAGCTGCTGGGGGCGGG